GAAGATGAATGTGCTCCTTCCTCCTGACTACTCGTGCCAGCTGCTAACACAATGCTATCTCAATAAAAAAAGATATCCTCACTGGCGCTGGCTGCGGAACCCAGTAAGCCTATCTAGCTGGAATTTTTAGGGTCACTGCTCTTTCTCTAAAAATAAACTTTTGCCTTTAGTGGAAATGGCATCAAATATATTCATATTTAATAGCATTTTTAAAGGGCCAGTAACTGAGTCTTCAAAAATGACTTAACTGCATTTCTATTTTTTGCTAAGTACATCTGGCCCTCTTTAGCCACAGGCTATGCATCCATGGATCCAACCAACCCAGATCAAAAATATTTTTAAAAAAGTTATGTTGTTGCTGACACGTACTATGTAGTTAGGCCTACCGTCATTGAGTCTATACTGAGTATGCACAGCCTTTTTTTTGTCATTAGTCCCTAAATAATACAATATAAAAACTATTTAGGCAGCATTTACATTGTACTTGGTGTTATAAGGAACCTAGAGAAGATTTCAAATATATGGGAGGATGTACATAGGTGATATGCAAATACTACACAAAGCTTTAGGTATGCGTGGATTTAGGTGTCTGTAGGGGCCTTGGAACTAACACTTTGGTTACCAAGGGATAACTGTATCAAAATATCTTCATAGTGGAAACTTCCTTTGGCCACGTTTTCCAGGCCTGTCTTGGTCTCACCTAGAACAGAAACTCTGCGGCTTCCAGTGAGCGCAGATCCCCTCTTCTCTGGTTTCAGCCCGCTGCCGCTGCCGCTGCCGCCTTTTGCATCAGGGATGGATTCCTGTGTCGTTGCCCGGAAAACATGTTAGTCACTCTCCTCTGAGTTAGGGCTTATACTGCTGGCATTCAAGTGTCAAACTGTAATCATCTGTGATATATTTAGATTTTTAGCTCACATTGCATTTGAACGTTAACTACACATCAACAAGAAAGTAAATGGCCCTCCTTTGGTTGGGAAGCATTGTACGGGCAGAAAGCCACCTCCGCTTGTTCATAGTGACACTGTTCATAGTAACACTGCTTCTTTATCAGATTACAAATATTCATGCTCCAGATTCCTCTTCAATCAGGAAAAGTGAATTATTATCAGAGGCCACAGGGTCTATTAAAGTTGTCTTTGAGGCTTAGAGCACAAAGGAAAGAGCATTCTGTCCTGAGACAAATGAGATATCCGAAGAGCAACCAGCATAGGATACACCAAGTTCTGATGAATTTGATACTTAACACAAAAGATGGTAGAGAAAGTCTTGTAATTTGTAGAAACAAGACGGGGACTGCTGCTTTGGCAGGATAACTCCATGGGGTGTGGGACGAGGGTTGAGGGAGTGGGTTGGGAGTCCTTTCACACTTCAGGCAGGACAAGCCAGAGCAAAACTGGGCTGAACAGGTCAGAGTCCTGTTTCTGCTCTCAACAGACCAGACCAACAGGCAGGACTTTGGGGTGGAGCTGGAATGCCAGCTGCTAGAGGTGGATGAAAGCTGTGTCTGGCACTGCTTGCACGGGGGGGTGGAGCTGATGGATAAGGAGGTTGTGAGTCAGACCAGGAAAACTTTTGGTGATCAAGGGACCTGGATGAAGGGTTAAATTTTCACAATCTTATCAGCTTGTGTGGTTTGGAGAAATCTGGAGGAAGTTCATCCAGCTTTTTTTTTTCAAACAACTATCAATCATGTTATTTTAGATTTTATTTATTTATTTATTTATTTTTGGAGAGAGGGGAAGGGAGGGAGAAAGAGAGGTGGAAATATCAATGTGCAAGGGACACATCGATCAGTTGTCTCTCCCCTGCCCCCAACTGGGGACCTGGCCAACAACCCAGGCATGTGCCCTGATTGGGAATTGAACCAGCAACCTTGCAGTTCGCAGGCCGGCACTCAATCTACTGGGCCACACCAGCCAGGGCTCATCCAACATTTTAAGATTATAAAGGGGGAAAGAGCTTGGACTGATAATGATGGAGGCCATATGTATCAGTCTAATCAGCCTGAATAAGGGCAAAACATGGGGTTTTGGAGAAGGACGTTAGAATGAGATCATAGTGGTACTATGTAAACAGACAGTTTGATAGCGTAAAGAAAGGCTGACCCTAGGACTTCGGCCAATATGGAGTTACAAATGAACTGTACTGGTAGTTTTTTGTTTTTTTGTTTTTTATATCAGAAGAGCATATGATTAGATAAATGCTTAAGGGGAAAAACAGGAGTCTAAATTGTGTTCTACTACTCCTTAACTAGTATTTCTTCATACTTGTATTTAAGTAAACAAAATGAAACATGTTTTCTATAGGACTTCTCAGAGCCTTTAAAATGGTAATTTTAAAGGTAATTAAATGGTAAATGGTAATTAACCTATCAATATTTCATGGCACACTGTCCTGGGGAATACAAGTTGGGAGAAGCTGATTTAACCTCATGTTAAAAAAGGCATAACCAAATTCAACTATCATATACAACAAAAACACCAAACGGAAGGAAAGTATTCCAAAATGTCAACAGTGAATGTTTCTTGTTGAATTATTTCTATTACTCTTTTATTTCCCATTATTTACTTTAATGAGCCTCTATAAGGAACATGGATGTAAAGAAAGCAGTGGTGTAGTTGTAGGAAACCAGTGTTGAAGTCAGCTTTAAAAGCTGTGTGACCTTGAACATCATCAGGTCTCAGTTTTCTCATCTATAAAATTGGAAAATATCTACCTAATGGGTTTGTTATGAAGATTAAATGAATTATGGCATCTAAATAACTCAGCATGAGGTCTGGCACATACTGTAGATATGAAATTAGAACATAAAGAGATATGGGCATGCTTTTTGCTAGCTTAGCTGAAGGCTGGGTAGGTAGGATATGGTAATTACCATTGAGCAATTAGAGTCTCAGAGTGTAAGATAGGGGTGCTGATTTGACAAAGGGCACTGGTCTATTCACTATGACATCAAGGCGACCAGAAAACACCATTCTCTGAGCTCTTAGCTTCCCCCTGAAGCAAAGAATTGTAGAAGCTGCTTCAGAGTGTGGGACAATATTCCACAGGACACTAGGCAGGGATGGTTATGACTTCTCACCTGAGTACCTTCTGTGTCATGGTGAGCAGCCTATGAATACTGTATTTCTAAAACAAACAAACAAATAAACAAACACCTTCCTACAACTTCTAGATTGCTTGGAACGAAATTTAATCATTGTACCAGAAAAAGGCATTTAACAACCTCCTTCTTCTAACGTACTCAGGAAAACTCTGCTGAACAAAAATAACTTGTGCTTGAACCACAGTGTCTCCCACATTATTCTGGCGACTTCACTGCTTCACAGTTGTGATTCTTGGAAACTTGTCGTAAAAATTCTTTAGAATTCTTAAATAACTTTTTTCTGACTTCATTTATTTAAAATCCCAGAATAGCCTCTCGAGCTATAAGTTTGACATCCAGGAAACTATTTATAGCAGGATGAGTACTCTCTGTGACTGATGTTAATGTTTTATTTTGAGAAGGACAAATCCTTAAAAAGATTGATAGGGTTGATGGTATTTTAAACTGAAAGCCGTGCCAAGGCAATTACGGCAAGTAGATATGAAATTGGAACATAGAGATATGGGTGTGCTTTTTGCCAGTTTAGCTGAAGGCTGGGGAGGCCTCCCACAAGAAGGACGGCAGAGACAGAGTCTTTAGCCAGATTTAGTGATCTTTTAGGTGGATTAGACACTTCAGCCTGGGGCGCCTGGCCTTTCTTTGTTCAGTGTTTAACAATCCAGAGCAGACAAATAGATACCGACTGTCATAACTAAGGTCAATACTGTCCTTGGTGTTATTGATATCCCCCTAGGTAGGACAAAAATAGGTGATAGAGGATGGAAGGTCAAGGTCAACCTAACTTAAAAATAAACTTTGTGTATTGGGGCCCTTAAATGATAGAATCATTAAGTAAATTTTTAGAACCAGAAATTACAACGAATAACTGGAGACTTGTAAATTCAGATTCCCCTTCCTCTGAAGCCTCATTAAGCAATTTATCAGACAGGCTTTTTGAACAGAATTGCTTCCTGATCCCAACCTGGCTTCCTCTAGGCACCTGGAACACTCTGTAACTCTAAGACACGCCCTGCTCTCCCAGGTGCCCTTAAATTAAGACTCATTAGTCCCAGGATCACATCTGGAGAGTGGGTAATATTCTGCCACTTTTGGAGTCAGGAGGGAAAGCAAGCCTGGCAGAGGTACCCATTCCATTCTCCCCTTGCTTAGTAGCTGGTGATTAGAAGACACTCTACAACGTTTAAAAAAAAAAAAAGATTCATCAGCTTATTGTAATCCTACCACTTTACTGATTGGTAGCTCATCATCTATGTCCCTTGCATCCAGTTCAGGACAGGTACTTGGAATATGTTAGGGATTAAAAGGTTTAAATCCTGTAGGCCCCTCAGTCTCATCTAAGGACAGGAGTGGTTTAGAGAACCCTGCAAGGCTAAAGGGAAAAAAAAAACAACCCTCAAGGCGGTGGGATTGAGCGCGGATTCGTTCCCTCTGCCGGGGAGGGCGCTGTCTTTGACTTTGACATTGTTCCACTTAAGGCCCTACTCGGTGCCGAGTTTCTACAGCTGCCCTCTCAACGGGCCAAGCTCGCTCCCGTTTCGGAGGCCCAACACAAGGTGGAGCGCAGGAGGTTCCACCACCGGAAGTTTCTTTGGATATAAAGAAAAACGGCGGAAGTAGGCCAAAGGCTCATCCTCAGTACTTTGCCTCCAAGCAGGCTACCCTCTAGCCTTTCTTTTGGTAGAAGAGGTGCTCCATTACTCTTTCCTTTCGTGAAAAGCAGTTTCGGCGGATACCGTGCGCAGGTTCAACTGGTTAGCTCCGCCTCTCAACCATTTTCCACCCTCCCAGGTTCTCTTGCCTGGACATGACGTACGCTTGTACGTACATGGGGGCGGGGCCTCAAAAGGAAAAGCGTCTGAGCCTAGATCTCGCGAGAACATTCCTTTCGTTCGCAGTTCTCGCTTTGCAGCTTCATTCTCGTCGCAACGAGATCTTTCGAGATCTTCTCCGCCCCCGCTACCCGGCGCCTTCACTGTGGCCGCTCAGCCGGAGCCGGCCTGGGCAGCACGCTCCGTAGCGGATCCATTTAAGAGGACCTAGGCCCTCGCGTGGGCACCCCCGCGTCCCCACTAGCATCGATCCCCTGGCCTACGCGGCCCAGTCTCCGCGCGCCAGCCCCGCCGGGGTCTGTGTCCTGTCTCGCCGGCCGGACCCGGGCTCGAGCCCGAGCTTTAGCTAGCGCCATGTCGGTGGTAGGCATAGACCTCGGCTTCCAGAGCTGCTACGTTGCTGTGGCACGCGCCGGTGGCATCGAGACCATAGCTAATGAGTACAGCGACCGCTGCACACCGTAAGTGTGGGCCAGGCCGACCGCGTGAGCTGGGGGGTTGGGGAGGTAGCAATTGCTCGGGTCTGCGACCCTCCTGGCTGGGGAACACGGGCCAGGGAGTCATCTCTGTTCTGAGCCGATGGCCTGGTGGATAGGGGACCCCCAGTGGGTGCCAGGACACTAGTGGTCGTGACCCACCGTGTGGGTCTGCGCCAAGAGCGAGGTCTTTTGCCGCTGGCCCGCTGGCTAAGCGAAGGCTGAGTTGGTTGGTACTCGGACCAGCGGAGGGCCCCGGTAAGAGCTGGAGGGAAGGCAGGCCTGGAATGTAGGATGGACCGAGATCCTCTTCCCGCAGGCAGGGACCAGGCCCAGGGCGTGTAGACGTTTCTTGAGGCTAACAGAGTTCGTAGCTTTGTACACAGCAGGCACTTAAAAGTTGAACGGGTTCGGGCGTCTGCCGGCGGCGGCTAGGAGGTGAAGCGGCCAGAGTCCCACGTGAGTGGGGGCGGGGCGGCGCCCGGAAGCGAGGGAGCGGGAGAACTTGAGGCTTAGGCTAGGTTTGGACCAGGGTTCTCGAGCTTGGGGTGATGGTGTAATAGATATCAAAAAAGGCCTAAATAAGATCGATGCTGTGTCGATAACCTTTATATTCACTTTGTTTTCTCACGTCCTTTCAGTATATTGAACCATGTTGGGTCATTCTCTGCTATTTGCATATCCACTTTCACAGTAATGTATTCCAACCAGGGTATTGGCTGCAGTTGCTACCTATTTATTTATTTACTTACATACACACTTTAGAGAGGGAGTGGGAGAGGGAGAGGAAGGAGAGAGAAACAGAAAGAGAGAAACATAAAGTTGTTCCATTTATTTATGCATTCATTGATTGATTCTTGTATGTGCCCTACCAGTGATGAACTGCAACCTGGGCCTACCCTCTGAGCTTCCCCGCCAGGGCTAGGCCCCAGTTAATGAATGACTCAGGGGCTCACTTTGACTTCTAGAACCTATAGTAAGTTATGGGATGAGAATAGACACAGTTCTAAAAAATCATGACTCACCTAGGTCTTTTCTTGGTTAGAGTAATCTACTTTTTGAGTACATAGAGCTGCTTTTCAATCCTTTGTCTTCCTCTTGGACAGAATATTTTAAGCTCCGTACTATTTGCTAGGTTCTCAGTGTGGTCATTCACAGGTATCTGTTCTAAAGGGCAGTTTTCACCCTAACTTCTGCCACGCTTCTTAAGCAGATTGCTAGCCAAACTAGTTTCCCATCTATTAGCCTGATCTTTGCTACCCAGAAGCCTCACAACATTTCCCTTCCACTTCCCAAATTTCTGCGTCTTGTTTTAGAGCTAGCTCAGGTGCTTCCCCTAAAAACCCACCTCAGATCCCAAAATGAACTTCGGTGGCCCTTAGTTGATTTTGCTTTTAGTTTTTAACAGCTTTATTGTGGTGGGATTTAAAGTGTGCAGTTAGATTGTTTTTGAGTAGTCACAAATCTGTGCAATAGTCAAGTTTAAAAGCTTTTCATCACCCCCAAAAGAAAGCGTCTACCGGCTTTCTACCCCGTAGAAAAAGCCTCATCCTCTTCTACCCATTCCTGACTGTTTTTATAGTTTTTAACGATGGGTATGTTCTAATTTGTATTTCCAGGGAAGTGTATTGTATAATGACCTTTTTTTTTTTTTTAAAGCATTAAAGTTTGTTTTTAAGTATTTTAGCATTAATTTCCTATTTGATACTGTCTTCCTCTTTGGATTTAACTTTCTTCACTAGTGAAGATTGTTTCCTCCAAGGAAATGCAATAAAAAGGATGGAACACTGAGTTGGTCTTTTAGCATCTTGGTTCTTTCTTGCCTAGAATTGAACATACTTCGCCAGAGGGAAGAAGATCTCAGATACTGGAAGGAACAGTGTTCCTGTCCTTTCTTTTAGGCTGTTACCATATGCTCTAAATTTTTTAGATAAACAGGAGTTGCGGCAATTTTAACTATAAATCCCATTATATGAAACAGGAAAAAAAGCACGTAATGTTTCCAGATCACAATAAATATGCTTCAGAGAGTAAGTGACCAGACACAGTATGTAATTGTGATAAGAAAATACCTTTTGAATATTTTAAGTGATTTTTCTTGTATGTTTTAATTCCTTAGGAACTTATAGGGATGCTTGACACCCAAATAACTTTTTTTTTTTTTTTTTTAAGTATCCTCACCACAGGACATTTTTTTTTTCATTGTTTTGAGAGCGAGGAAAGAGGGGAACATCTGTATGAGAGAGAAACATGATTGGTTTGCCTTTTCTTATGCGCCCTGACCAGGGATCAAACCTGCAACCTTTTGGTTTATCGGCCATTGCTCAAACCAGATGAGCCACACTGGCCAGGACCAAGGAATTTTTTTGAACTGATTTTGATTAGCTGAGATTTCTGTGGTGTTTGCCTGGCTAAGTAGAACATGGGAGCGGAAAGGTTGATCTTTTGTAGTGGTTGTGGAATAATGGTTTCATACCTCAGGTACACAGACTGTGTGATGTGTATTTGTTTTAGTGTCAGAGGGGAGCAGGTTCCAGAGTGTTGGCTATGATGCAAGTACTTAACTCCCTCCTACCCTCCTTCCTTTCCCTCCTCCTTCCCCCTCCCTCCCTTCCTCCCTTCTAGATTTTATAGATTTTATTGTTCGAGAGGAAAGGAGGAACATCAGTGTGCTATTGCCTCTTGAATGCCCCCTACTGGGGACCTGGCCTGCTACTCAGGCATATGCCCTGACTGGGAATCAAACCAGCAACCCTTTGGTTCTCAGGCTGGCACTCAATCCACTGAGCCACACTGGCCAGAGAAATACCTCATTTCAAATTGTGGGGTTAATAGCATTTGGATTCAGTTTTTGAGGAACTAATTGAGTCTTACCCAAGAAGGGGCACTTTCCCACCAAATTTAGGTTTCTTTTATTTTAGCAAATATGCCAGCCATTGTGCTAAACACCGGAGGTGTTCTGATGACAGATCAGCGAGATCCTCCCATCATGGACATGGCTAATGGAAAAAGCCAGATGCTGAGCAAATACATATGTGATTGCTAATCATGGTAAAGGCCCAGATGGGAAAGTACAGGATATGATGACACAGGGACCTAATTTAAATTGTATGTGGGGTGGAGACAGAAGGTACTCTTTTTTTTTTTTAAATTTTTTAAAAGATTTTATTTACTGCCCTGACTGGTGTGGCTTGGTTGGGTGTTGGCCCATAAGGAGAAAGGTCATGCGTTTGATTCCTAGTCAGGGCACATGCCTGGATTGCGGGTTCGGTCCCCAGTGCATATGCGAGGCAACCAACTGATCGATGATTCTCTCCCACATTGCTGTTTCTCACCCTCTCTATCTCCCTCCCTTTCCCCCCTCTAAAAATAAATAAAACTGTTTAAAAAAGTGCCATTTATGTAGTCTTGTGTTCATTGCAGAATTACTTGCAAAAGCCAAAATTTGGAAGCAGCCCAAGGGTCTTATCAGTAGATAAGTGGATAAAAAAAGCTGTAGTACATTTACCCAGTGGAATACTACTTGGCCACGAAAAAGGGAATTTCTGTCCTTTGTGACAGCATGGATGGACCTGGAGAGCATTATGCTAAGTGAAATAAGCCAGTCAGAGAAAGACAGGTACCATATGATTTCACTTGTATGTAAAATCCAATGAACAAATAAACAACAGAATAGAAACAGAGGGGGAGGGGTTTGGAGGGAGGTAGAAAAGGGTGGGGGGGAGATAAATGGTGATGGAAGGAGACTGAACTTGGGGGGGGGACACAGGGCATTATACAGATGATGTGTTATACAATTGTACGCCTGACATGTATATAATTCTGTTAACTAATGCCACCACAAGAAATCCAATAAAAAAGTGTCATTTGGGTTGATACCTAGTGGATGAGTAGGAGTTTATCATGGGAGTTGTGGGCCTGAGGAAGACTTGCTGCAAGAAGAGCGGGGCTGATGGGACAGACTAGAGGATGAGGGCTACTCCCAGCCCCCTGAGAAGGGTGTGAGTGGATGAGGAGAGGGGTTGGGCGGGGCAGACTAGATTATGGCGGAGCTCTGTAAGTTATGGGTGTTTATTTAGGTGCATTTCCCACACACAACTATAAACCTACTTTTGCCACATCCTGTATTTTAGGTATCTTTCAGAGTCTGATATGAATTTATCTCCTTAAATATGTAATTCCATATTAGGATTTGCAACATGTTTTCTTCAAATACTCAGGTTATTTAATATTTTGCTATTACAAATAGTTCTTCAACAAGTAGTTTTTTGTATTTGTGTTTACATGTTAATACTTTTATTTTTGTTGGATAGATTTCCAGATGCAAAATTGCTCGGGCAAAGGATATGGATGCTTAAGAGTTTTGGTACATATTGCCAGAGTACTTTCCAAAAAATTAAGAGATCAGTTTATAGCAGGAACATAAGTGATTTCTTCACCTCACTGGGGGTAGATGGTTTTAGGATGGCTGACTGGATTATACTGGGGAGTTTGAGAAAAGTGAAGCAGCTCTTACATAGCAAGCTGGTTGGCAGATTTTTGTGTGAAACGCAGACCAGGGCTTCATTGGAGCTGGGGTAAGAGCTATATTTTGTTTATTAAATGCCCTTTAAAAGTGGTTAACAAAATTTATATAGCAACCACATGAGGGTGGTGCTGAAATTTTTCCATTTCAGAGAGGAGTAATTTCAGAGAAATTAAGCAACAGAGAGATCACACAGCTAGAAAGAGAGAAAGGATTTGGACAGACCCAGACTGTCCGGTTCTAGAACCTTAGCTTTTTTTACTGTATATGTATATTTAGATCAGTGAAGTTGATGGCAAAGTGGAGAAGCTCCACTTTCTTTCTTTACTCCCCCCAGCCCCCCTGCATTTCTTTGGTGCAATAGGTGGCTTATTGTTATAGAACTTTTTTAGAATGTAAATACTGTGTAGTATACTGTATTGATAATTTCTTATGATACAGTAAGAAAAATGGACTTTTCCCATACTTTGCAAGAAATATATACGTTGTTTAAGGTGTTGCTGCTATTATACAGGGTGAAGATTGATGTCCCTTAGTGACATTTGATTGCTTTGTAAGAAGTTGGGCACTGTTTGTAGTATGTGTATATACAGGCCAAAAAAGGATGAATAATTCGAACTGATACACTTATTTAGCCTTTCAAGATGTATGAAACAATTACTGTTAAAAAGGCAGATGTAGATTTTAAAAGTAAAATGTTAACTGCAAGGGAAATATTACTTAAAGCAGCTCTGTACAGTAGGACATTCTGTGACAATGGAAAAAATTGCCCAAAATCCAAGTTTTAAGCAGTACGAATGATTAATTCTTACTTGAGGGGGGATTGGGAAGGCTTCACAAAGTGGGTGGTATTTCTGGAGAATACTGTGATGTAGAAGGGACCAGAGCATTTCCAGGTGGCAAAATGACATGAGCAAAGCAGGATAATGGGAAGACTTGAACTTGCGCTGGGTCACTGTGTGCGAGGTGCGGCTGGAAGACGGGGTGGGGCTGGGATGGGGAGTAATCTGGGCTTTGTTGGGGGTTGGCTTTCTTGGGAAGGTAATTGGAAGCTCTTGCTTCTAGGGTTATCTAGGTCAAGTAGGAAATTATGTCTTCAGCAAGACATAAAGTTGGTAATGTTCGTATTTTTTATTCTTAGAGCTTGTAATTGGTTTGAGATGTAGTTTTGAGAAAAGGGCTGCAGGAAACAAGGGAAGATAATTAACATTACCCTTCAGTTATGTTGGGATTGAGGTATTGGTGGTATATACCTTAGAAAAGCAGATCTGGTAGTTTTTATTTTTTAATTTTAATTTTTATAATTTATTGATTATGTTATTACAGTTGTCCCAATTTTTCCCCCTTCCCCCGATCTGGTAGTTTTTAGAAAGATGTGCTTTTACCAGTGGGTAGACTGAGGAGTGGAGTGAACGAGTGAATGGAGTGGGTAAGATTGCCTTGCGCAATTTCCTGAAGGGTGGTATAAGCACTGATGGAGAGATTCAAGTGGTGCTCAGGAAATCCTAAAAATGTTAGTGGTTGGCATATGTGCAGGAAGGCTGGTGATGAGATCTCAAGCTAAACTGTATTTATTCAGGGCACAGCTGCCTGCAAACTGCCCTGGGAGATTGGCTCACAGGGGCTCTTACGCCATTGGTTGGGAAGGGCCTGGAGGCCTGGCGAGGCCCAGCACTCTGTCAGTGGGTGTAGGGCTAGTAAATGTAAGTACAATTCAGCTCAGTTAATATGTCATCTAACGTAGTCAGATTTGGACCAAGGAATAGGGCTCCAGAGCCCTATTTCTTAGTCTTCTATAAATTGAAAGAACTAGGATTCCAGGGAGGGTAGAGAAGGTCAAGGTCAAAGCTGTAATGTAAAGTTTGAACAAATGATCTGACTCCATTGCTTTCAGATTACATGATCCTGGGTAAATATACTTATTAATACCTTTTTGGTCTTAGCTTCTTATAAAATGAGGATAAGATAGGGTGATTAGAAAGATTAAATGAGACGCGGCCCATAGTGATTTATGCAGTCACTATAATTGAAGCAGAAGGAAGAGGGCTTTAGTAGCTTGAGGAGGAAATGGACTAGGGAAGAGCTTTGTCTTTTGGGTGAATTTGATCTCATTGAAGCTTGAGAGAAAGCAGCTATTGGAAAGGGAGGTGACAAATATATGAGAGTGCAGGTGACAAGGGCAAGGTCCCAAAGGGATTAATTTGATTGAAGAACATAGGGTGATGCACTGGGGCAAAAGCATCAACTCCCACATAACTCGAAGCTTAAGCACAGTATTTTAAAGTGGTTATACCTTTAAACAGGTTTTGGTTTTGCTTTCTAAGAGAAGCAGCAAATCAATCCAGCAGACAGTCCGTGAATTGGCGATTTGGAAGAATGTGTTCAGAAGTGGGAATGAAGTTCCTCGTCAGAAACTGAGTCCTCGGAAGCTAGTTGTAGAAAATTTACTTCTTATTTACAACAGGACAAGAGTCATTTTCAGGATTTATAGACTGTTCTCTTGGTGCAATTATAAGCTGATTTAGAAAACAACATTTAATTGATGAATTGCTATGGAGGTACGTTATTTTATGTTGGGATTTTGAACACCAGATTTGAAGAATTAAAGGATATTGGAGACTGGCTAGTCACCTGTCTGTGCTATTTCTGACAGATGATCATCACATAAAACTTCAACATCTAAAGCCTCCTGTGGATAGTTTTAACTCAATATAAAGGTTACAATCATAGACTTATTTTGTGCTGCTAAAATATATGGCTTTTTAGTGAGGACTGAGAAATCTTGTATGGTTTTGGGTGTAATGCCGCACTAAGGATGTTAATGTTGCAATAAGGATGTATTCTAAAATGTTTGTTGTATCTTCTAGGGCTTGCATTTCTTTTGGTCCCAAGAATCGTTCAATTGGAGCAGCAGCTAAAAGCCAGGTAGGTAGTTTTATTTTTTCCTAAAACGACCTATTTTTCTGGCTTGTCCATCCTTTGTTCAGCAGTTTTTGAGTGCCCCTGACATGTCCAGCACTGGCAGGCCTTAGACATACAACTGAGAGACAGACCCGATCTGTGCTCACGGGTGCTTGAGTGAAGAGCGTGAACAGTATAGTGTGTTCAGTGCAAACTACTAGGAAGTATTTTAAGTGTTCCTTAAGTCTTCTCATTGGGCTTTTCTTCTTACTAGTGTTGAGGGTCAATGTTGTCTCTAGATTCAATCTTGTTAATCAAGGTTCTCAGGGAAGGAAAACATACTGTAAAAGCACGTTAACTTACCATTAGTTTACTTTGCAAATCAGCAGTCTGACATATTTGCTGGTTTATGAGTAACCAGAGCAGCAGAATCCCAAGAGTTCTGTCATCCTGACTGACTGAGGTTGCTGTGAAATTAAGAAGGAATTGCGTGTTTGACCTTTTTATGGTTCAGTCTGGAACAAAATATAGAATGAGTATCTGGCTCTTTTTCTGGACTGGGAAGGGCCTAAAATTCATAAGCCTAAGAAAATGATGCTTGGCCAATGGTTATTAATGAAACTGGGTGTTTTATAATCTAGGAGGCAGTAGGTAGCAAGTACACAGCCATATTGAAATATCATTCCTTCTGAAATTTCAGGGAATTCTGGTTTTAAATTTGCTTTCATTATTGAGAATAGTTATTGTACTGAACTGGCTGCCTAGTCCTAGGTTGACATAGTTATTGTGATACTGGGTTTCTACTTGGCAGCTCGCTGGAGCAGGGCTGATTTGGGAGGACTCATTGTTTTACAGAAAGGCTTCTCTGTGTGCCTTTTGATATACCCGATGCAAAGGAGCTGGGCAGCCTGTCCTTGGGGTTTCGTACACTGAACTCCTGCAAGTGGAGGAGGAGCCTGTGAATCCTAAAAACAAGTTCATTCTTGAATTTTTTTGAATGTCTTTGCCAGTGTTTTTTTTTTAAAAATAAATTATATTTTATTGGAAAGAAATAAAAAAATAGATACGGTACGATAGGGAATTAGCGAGTTTTGTAGTACCATTATCCAAAAATCAGCATCTTAATGTTAACCTGTGGTACTCTTTTAAAAAAAAAAAAAAATTACTTTTTTAGAGAGAGGGGTAGGTAAGGAGAAGGAGGAGGAGAGAAGCGTTGATGTGTGAGAGATACATCAACCAGTTGTCTCTCATGCTGTCCCAACCGGGGACCTGGCCTGCAACCCAGGCATGTGCCCTGACTGGGAATCGAACCAGCAGCCCTCTGGTTTATAGGCCAGTGCTCAATCCACTGAGCCATACCAGCCAGGGCCTATTGAACTCTTAAGTATGTAAATATTTTTTCTTCTACAAAAGTAAGGTCATGCTATATAGATACTTACCTTTAAACCTCCTGTAATAATCTCGCCCAGGTATGGATATACCATATATTTTCCCATACACATTCAGGCTATTTCCAGTTTTCTGGTGTTATAAATAGTACTCTCTCAATATCTTTGTGCATTCCTCTTTGCATATATAGTGTCATCTTTTTTTCCTTTATGGTAGGTTTCCTTCACTAGAATTTCTGAATTGACAGAAACTTCCAAACTGACTCTGAAAAGATTGAATCACAAACTATGGGTAATTTTTAAAGGCTAAAAATCGTGTCTAAATGTTTATTAGATGTTTAAGACAGAAAACACTCTTATAGGGGTCATGACCTGTCTGTGCAGAGAAGCGGGACGCGCTGGGCTGTGGCCCCTCCGCCTGTTTGAGGTGCCCGCCCCTGAAGCCTCACCTCCCGTGCTCGTGGGCATCACTCGGAAAGGCTTAGCGCGGAAGAAAACGGAAACTCTGGAGGAAACTGGGCATTAACATGATGCTCATTTAGTTTGACGCTGTTGGATTTTTTCCTAGTTTAATTGCTATTAGTCTTTCTACTCTTTGATTCTGATACCCTTTCTCTTAGATCATTTCCAATGCAAAGAACACAGTCCATGGATTTAAAAGATTCCACGGCCGAGCATTCTCTGATCCGTTTGTGGAGGCAGAAAAATCTAACCTTGCATATGATATCGTGCAATTACCCACTGGACTAACAGGTATAAAGGTAAGGTTGTCAAGAGAGTGCTTATCAGTAAGATACCACATTTTATTTTTATTCAGTCAATGTATATCAATTCAGTTCTGATTTCATTGTAATGAAAATGCTCACAAATGCTTAGGAAAAGTGTTTGCTAGTAAAGCCCATTTGGCATTTTTGTAGTGATTTGGGTTTGGATTGAGAGAACCTAGGGGGCACTGTTAATATAGCTTGGATGGATGGGTGGTGATGAAGCTAATGCTGCCATTGCTGCGTGGCTTGTTTGCCATGTGATTTTAGGGTGTGACTTGTGGGAGACAGGCAAAGAAATCAGTGCTTTTAAATCACTAGGCAGGTACGTGGTTATAACCTTGACAGTAGGAATTAGATTGTAAAAGATGTTCTTTAGAGGAAAGGGGAGTTCAGTCTTTGATATTTCTGGGATACGTAGAAGAGTCTCTTTGTGAAGCATGCAGTGAACTGATCATACAACAGGGGGGAGAGGCCGGGGAATGGGGAGGGTGCGCACCACGGCCTCTCTAGCACTCAGAGGCGGGGAGAATCCAGGGGGGTGGCTGAGCTTTCCAGGCAAGTGGGTTTAGAGGGAGGAGATTTGGTGTTTTAGACATTTCAACTGGAGAAATAAGAATATGAGAGCAGGGTCAACACTCAAGAGATGATGGGAATTGGGAGAAAACGGTAGTCAATAATACCATTGTAGTCAAGGATTCAGTTGAATTGAGAAGTGAAGAATTCTGATAACGGAAGAATGATCCCTGGGTTTACTTAGGATTTCTGTGGCAATAATCTCAGAAAAGTTTGAATGACCTACTTAGGGGTAAAGCTGGAGTACAGAGGAGGGAAAAAGGAAAAGGGGAGCTGAGGAAATGAGGGGAGATACTGATTGTTAAGAAAGAAATAGAACAGATAAAGGCAGGTTGAACCCTAAGCACTGCAAGAAAAGTGGGAGACTTGGGAGAAGAGCTGGGGGCTAAGTGGGTCCACATGCAAGGGCGGAGGGTGGACTGAGATTAGACAGATAGCAGCGAAGCAGGGGCAGCTTAGCAGGACGCTCATCGAGGTGGTTATTTTCCTGTCTTTATCATGCAGTAAAGGGAGAAGCTGTTAGACTGGGACCCCAAATACATTCTTATGGTTGGGCTGGGGCGTCAGGAGCTGAGGATCCGTTAGCTTTCAAGCGGGACTGGAGTGGCACATTAGAAGAAGAGAGTGAGGTTTTCTGGTCTGGATTGTAGTCGGGGACTATGGGTATATGTGGAATGGGGCTTATCCTATGTAACCTTTTAACATTTAAAGTTTGCAACTCTTGTCAGAGTTGTAGATTTTTGTCCAGGGTAGGATAGTTGGAAACTTTCTTCGTTGCTCTCTAATTCACCGAGTGTGTGTTCTGTCAGGTCTGTCAGGTGCTGGGGCTACCGCAGTGAATGAGTTTGACTAAAACCATGTCCTCAAGTTAAATTGGGTCCTGATTGGGGAGATGATAATAAAGTCAACACAGTAAACAAAGTAAAACACAAACAGTATGTCAGATGGTAAAATAGTTTCACCACCAGACCCCCTAACAGAGGGGTGCCGCGGCTCTGGGTGAGGCGCACCAGTTCGCTGCTGCACAGGGAAATTGTCTCAGGTTGTACTGGTTGTCACAGCATTGTCTGTGTACTGGTCCTTAACCTTCAAGTGTCATGTGCGTGTTATAAAGCTAAAAGTGACCTTCACGTTATTTCTGCTTTCAAAACTTTCTTCTCTTCCCTCTTGAGATAATGTTCCATTGACGATGTGAGACGTTGCTCATTTTAAACTTTTAGGACATGAAAAAATGTAAGTCGAGATCCTTTTGTTATTTTGTTGCAGGTGAAATATATGGAGGAAGAACGAAATTTTACCACCGAGCAGGTGACCGCCATGCTCCTGTCCAAACTGAAGGAGACAGCAGAAAGCGTTCTTAAGAAGCCTGTGGTGGACTGCGTTGTCTCGGTGGGTTGGAGCCCTCGTTCCTGAGGACTCACGGGAGGAAGCACTTGCATTTTAACTGAAAATCATACTGTTTTTGGGTTTGGGTTGTATGATTATTTTAAGAATTTATCAAACTGGTCTTCATTTTCTTGAATTTTATCTTCTGGCCCCTAGATTTTGCTCAGGCCTCCTCTGTTACTCTGCCTATTCAAAGGCTTATCTCAAGGTGCGCTTCTTCCTGAATTTCTTCTAGCAGGAGGATGGTCTCTGGTAGCCACTCCTTTGTTAGATTAGTTGAATACTCTCACTAAGAAATGAGCTCTTTCTCCATTTCTACCTCTTTATATGTTTGCTCTGTTCCTGCCACTAAAGGCAGGGCAGTTCAGACTTTATCTGGTCTTTTCCACGTCCCTCTCTAGGCGGAAGCCTGGCTGTTCGTAGCTTTGTGCTCACGGTGTGACGGAGTTCTTAGCAACTGTTGAAATTTGGGCAGCTCTGTTGGTTTTGTCACTGACTCTCCTCATTCTGCAGCTATCTGATATTTTATCTCTGTGGCCTCTTGTTGGTGCATTGCTTGGCAAAGCAAGGATTGTTAGGTGCTGCTTCTCCCCACAGTCTGTTGTCCAGTGGATTCCTTAGTTCTTGGCTGTCTTGTCAAGGGGAGCTGACGTTTGCCAGGAAGAATTGGATTATGGCTTTGTGCCACATTCTGGGGATGTGAAGAGTGAAAATGCTACTTTTCTTAAAGATTCCATACAGACGCTGTACTTTGAGATGCGCTCTGCCTTTCCTGAGCCCTCCATTGGCCTGTCAGATTGACTTCGTTTCCCCACCCAGTGCCTTTACCATTGATCCTGAGTTATGCTCAGTGCAGAAGTAAAAATGTAAAAGGATGGGACACCTGAGTGGCTTTTTTCAGCTTTTTGAACAAGTTTAAAGGTGATGTGTTAAGTCACGTGTTGGGGATCCTCAGGACCACCCTGAGTTTTGGCGATTTGCTGGGAAGATTCCCGGGACTCGGTGCACAGCTGTCCTTACGGCTAAGGTCTGTTACAGCAGAAGGGTGCCAAGCACAGTCGCCAGAGGGAAGAGGTACATGGGCAGTGCCCGGGGGAAACCAGGCCCAAGCCTCCCAGAGTCTCTTACAATGAAACATCCATTAGACTGCACTGGGCTTCATTCTTCCAGCAGCAAGTTGTGACAATGTAAGTGCGAATGTCATGCACCAGGGAAGTCCTGTCTGTGGCCTGAGGAGTCCAGGGTTTCTGTCGGGCGTCAGTCTTGTAGGTGCCCTCTGCCTAACGTGTACCAGAACTACGGACTTCCAGAAGGACAGAGGCATTTCGCATACACTAAGTTGTAGGAACAGTTCAGGCACAGTGAGTCACTCTCAACGTGAAGGGAAATTTTTGTATTAACTTGGGGATCTGTTTATCGTTCAGGTTCCTGGATGCTGGGAAAGGGCTGACCTTGTCGTTAGACTTGGCTGAGGATACTGGTCTCTGACCTCTGTGAACTCGGTGTGCACAGGCGCTGCTGGCTCTTGGTACTAATGGTATATCTCACTGCTGTGAAAGAGAGCCTGGGTGTGGGTTGCTTTACAATAAATGGGTTATTGTTAAAACATAAACTTCATTTTTTTAAGAAAGGTAATAATAGCCCAGTGTTCAAAATCTAAGTGTGTAGAAAGGGGGAGGTGTATGGAAGCTCAGCACGCTTGCTGCAAAGCCTGCAGGTCTTTCCCCCACCCGGAGGCTACCTGTTCCACCCCTTTGTTACAGACCTTCCCAGAGGTTCCTATGTACTGAAGCAGATATGGGTAGGTCCTGTTTGTACTTCGATCTTTCTTTTTACAAATTTTGGACAGTTTATCTTCTACTTGTTCTGTAGCAATAAAGAAGTGCCTGTTTCCTTGGAGTGGCTGTGAGGTACTCCAGTTTATGTGGTACTTACTTAACCAGTCTCTTTTTGTTAGACATCCATTTATATACTTTTTTTTTTTATTGTGAAGAATGCCGCAATGAATGAACCTGAACAAATAGCATTTTGCTCTTGAATGATAAGTTTGTAGGATTTATAGGCTAAATTTTTAGAAGTTCAATTGCTGGGACAAAAGATGTGTGTTAAGTCCCCCTTATTCATAGTTTTCTTTTTCCATGGTTTTCAGTTAACATGCAGGGCATGTTAAGTGGAAAAGCAACTTTTAAGTTTTACGTTGCATGCTGTTACGAGTCCTACTCTGCTGGCTCTGTCCCCCCTGGATTGAGAGTCATCCCTTTGTCTAGCGTATCCATGATCTAGGTACAGTACTGTGAGATATTTGGAGAGAGCCTTGACTGCTGTCTCTCAGTGGGTTGAGCGTCATCCTGCAAACTGAAAGGTTGCTGGTTTGATTCCTGCTCAGGGTACATACCTGGGCTGTGACCAGGTCCCTGTCTGGGGGCGTGCAGGAGTCAACTGATTGATGATGCTTTTGTACATTAGTGTTTCTCTCCCTCCCTTCCGCCCTCTCTGCAAGCAAGCAAGCAAGCAAATAAATAAATCCTAAAGACATTATTTACCTTCTTTTAAAAAAAGATATTTTGAGAAAGACCACATTCACTTACTCTTATTACAGTATATTGTGTGGTTGTTATATCTTACTGTACCTAATTTATAAACTTTATCTCAGGTATGGATGTACAGAAAAAAATAGAGTTCAGTACCATCCTTGGTTTTAGGTATCCATGGGAGCTCTTGGAACATACTCACATAGATATGTGGGGTACTACTGTGTTTGTAATTTCAAGGGAAAAAAAAAAAGACTTGATTTATTCTTAGAGGGGAAGGGAGGGAGAGAGGGGGAGAGAAGCAGTGATGTGTGAGAACGTTGATTGGTTGCCTCCTGCACGCATCCCGGCCCACAAGCGAGGCGTGCACTCGCTCTGACTGAGAATCCAAATGGCGACCTTGTGCCCAGCCAACTGAGCCACCCCAGTCAGGGCTGTATTTGTAATTTTAACAGTTAACTGCTTAATTGCCCTTCAAAGAATTTGTACTAATTCACACTTCGCCCAAAATGTATGAGTGGACTTATTTGATCACAGCCTCACCAGCACAGTTTATTGGTGTCTTAACTAATTCTGTTAAGTGAAAAATGGTATGTGATTTTTCAAAGTGTATGTGATTTTAATATTATTTAGGCAGAGATGAACATTTTAAAATTTAAAAGCTATTTTATATTGCTATTTCTGTGAACTGTTCTTGTTCTTTGCTTCTTTTATTTTGAGTTGATGATTTTCATTTTGATCTGTAGTTCTTCATGCATTAGATTAGCATTTTGCAGTTTTATCATGTGAGCTGCAGATATTTTTCCCATTTGGTCCTTAGCGTTTTTATGTTAAAAAATTTTTTTCTTTCTTCTGGGTTTTCTGTTATATTTAGAAGATCCTTTTCTACTCTGATGGTAAAATTCCTTCCATTCTTCTGCTCTTGATGTTTTTTTTCTTTTTTAACATTTAAGTCTTTGGTTTGACATATACTTTGGTATAAGGCTTGCAGTAGGGATGCAACTTTATTTTCTATATGGCTGTCTATCCATTTGTCCCAATATTGCTTATTGAGTATTCTAACTTTTCCCTACTGGTTTGAAATACCTCCTTGATTATGTACAGAATAAATTGCTGTAGGTGTGTGAGTGCTTTTCTGGATTGTATTTTATTATTTTGGCAGGTGCATCTATAAAAGAGGTTCCATAATGTAGTAAACTTCCAAATCTTTTTGTAGGTTCCTTCTTTCTATACTGATGCAGAAAGACGATCAGTGATGGACGCAACACAGATTGCTGGACTCAATTGTCTGCGACTGATGAATGACACTACTGCAGGTAAAGAGAGACTGTCAACTAGAATGTTCCACCTGTTTAATCATGAAGGTGTGAAATCTTAAAATCCAGGCCGGCTTGCTCCTCATTTTGGTTGGAGTACTCACTGCCCGTGTGTCACAGTTTTCTTGGTTACTCTCTCACAGAGGAAGACTTCGCCTGACCAGTACTTTTTCTGTATCTTTGTTAGCACTTACTCTGGTACTTAATCACATGGTTGTTGGAAAGAAATACATTTACTATGCGATTGGAGCATTGCTTTGACCTAACTATTGGCCTTTTCTACGACTGGTGGCCTGGCGGAGTCAGAGGAATGGGAGGCCACAGCTCGAGGACAGAGGGCCTGGGAATGTTGAGGTGGCACGAGGGTAGAAGTCCTGCAGGATGCACTGGGGAAAGCGGGGACGCGGTTTGACAGCCATTGCCGGAGTCGTGGGGGTTGGGGCTTGGATTCGGAAACATTAAGAAACCCTAAATGAATGTCAGCCTTTAACTCTTTGAAGTTGGTGTTCTTCATGAGTAAATGCACAAAACTTGTTTAAAAATTTGATTCTTTGTAGAATGGCATGTGGTGCATCTCCATTCAGTACATACAAGATCTGTTGGTACTTAAATTTTAAGTTTACTCTTAGGTAATATGTTGAATTTATTTTTCTTGTGTATAGTTGCCCTTGCATATGGAATCTATAAGCAAGATCTTCCTGCTTTAGAAGAGAAACCAAGAAATGTAGTTTTCGTAGACATGGGGCATTCTTCTTATCAAGTTTCTGTATGTGCATTTAATAGAGGAAAACTTAAAGTAAGTATATGTTTTTTTCCAGAAGACTTACAGGTGTATGGTAATTAGGAACTTGTGAGACAAAATTTAAATGATTAAAGGATTTTGTTACACTAATGGAAACTTGCTGTGCGCCATCTAAACTAGAAACTAGGTATATGGAGATGGGGTGGAAGTTGGAAGCTCAAAGTAATTAAGAGTTGGCATGGTATGAGGAAAAAACACAGTATTTTGCTGAGCCTTATTTTTCTTACCTATAGCGTGAGAAAATAACGGTCACCTGCAGGCTTATGAGGAGGATTCTTTAATACATAGTCCCTTGGTGTTGTGCACTGTGGGTTGAGGAGATTATGACGAAGGTATTCTCTGCTTGCTCTGAAGGTTTTAAGCATTCTGGGGAAAGGGTGGAGGGACTAGAACTTGGTGGCTCGAAGAAGCCAGGTAGGAGTGATACTGTAGATGGCTGGGAAGCTTAGTGCTCTGAAGACAGTTGTGTTTGCAGGGAAGCCTAGCAGTGTCATGACAAGGAGAAGCTGTAGGATGATTATGGTCACAGCTCAATTTGCTAGTGTGTGTCTTAGTTCCACAATGGGATATAAAATCTTTAGCTCAGTGATTTTTATCTAGAACCAGTGAGTTTTAAAATTTTACTTACTTTTTTTTTTTTAAAAAGATTTTATTTATTTTTAGAGATAGGGGAAGGAAAGGAAAAAGAGGGAGAGAAACATAAATGTGTAGTTGCCTTTCATGCGCCCCCTACTGGGGACCTAGCCTGCAACCCCGGCATGTCCCCTAACTGCGAACTGAACCAGTGACACTTTGGTTTGCAGGCCAGCACTCAGTCCACTGAGCCACACCAGCCAGGGCTATTTATTTATTTTTAGAAAGAGGGGAAGTGGGGAAGAAAGAGAGGGAGAGAAACATTGATGTGTGAGTTGGCTGCCTCTTCTCTCCTATGCCCCCAACCAACCCCAGCTGAGGACCTGGCCCGCAACCTAGGCATGTGCCCTGACTAGGAATCCAACAGGCGACCTTTGGTTCAAGGGACAGTGCTCAACCTACTGAGTTACACCAGTTAGGGCTAGGGTTTTTTGTGGGTTTTTTCTTTTTTTTGTTTTTTTTTTTTTTTAATGAAAGCAAATCTTTGATATAGTTGGGAAATAAGTAGTTGGTGACTTTAACAGATACAAATGCTGGATCAAGTGTAATTCTCAGTATTTAAACTTGGAATAATAATAGAATTATTTCTAAAATTCTGTACTCCAGCCTTTTTAAACAGAAGATAAAGATCATAGCTCTGGCTTTGGGACAAAGTGTATTAGATGCTTTCTTTTCCTATGTTGCTTTTCACTGCCAGGTGTTACTTGTCAGCTTCCTGATTATAGTTAAAGTTTAATTAAAAAATACTCATGATAAAAGCATCCCCAAATTTGGAAAACATTTATGTGTAAAGAAAAAAAATACCCAAGTTCTGGCCTTGGGGCTCAACTGATTGGAGCCTCATTGTATACACCAAACGGCTGTGGGTTTGATCCCCTGTGGGGGCGTGTATGGGAGGCAGCCAGCTGAGTGCATGTGTTCTCCCCCCACTTCTAAAATCAAATATATCCTCGGGTGAGGATTAGAAAAAACAATTTAAATTTAAAAAATACTCAAAATCTTAACAGTTTGAGGTGTTTCTAGTCTTAAGAAAACAAAATTGGAATCACACTGTATTTCTGTTCTGTCTTGTTTTTCTTAACAAATTTAGAAAATTTCCCCATGATGTTTAACATTCTTTGAAGAGATGTTTTTATTGCTTTAATTCCTTCAAAAGGATATCATCACTTAACCTATTTTGTATTAGGTTACTGAGTGTTATTAGATCTAGTTTCCTTCTAATCTGCTAGAGATTTGGGAAGTGGGTAACCCACCCAAGCAAATAAGGCTTCCATGATAAATAGAAGCAAATTGCTGGCACTTAAAAGCTTTAGCATCTTTTTGGGTAGTAAACTGTACAGAGCTAGGCTTTTGGTACTTGGAGTTTTGAGATAGCAGTAACACTAGAACTGTGTATGTGGAATGTTAAGTTTTTTTGGTCTTGGATATGTAATTGCTGTTGGTGTAGTGGAGAGGGCGTGGGTTTTGAAATGAATAAGATTGGGTTTTGAATTCCACTTCTACCACTTGTTACCTTTGTGACCTGCGGATTATTTGATCTGTCTAGGTTTGTAGCATCATCTGTAAATTGGGGATTACAGGGTCTCTTCACAGTGTTTGTAACAGTGACTTCATGACACACGCACATAGCCCTGTTTTAACCTTAATGTCCCCCCTTATTACAATTTAATCATTAAGTATATATCATAATAAAATTTAAAATTGGTTTACTTTTGAATTAATTATCATCTTTTTTCTAAGGTTCTCGCCACAGCATTTGACACAACACTGGGAGGCAGAAAATTTGATGAGGTGTTAGTAAATCACTTCTGTGAAGAATTTGGAAAGAAATACAAGCTAGACATAAAGTCTAAAATCCGTGCATTATTACGACTGTCACAAGAGTGTGAGAAACTCAAGAAATTGATGAGTGCAAATGCTTCAGACCTCCCTTTGAGCATCGAATGTTTTATGAATGATGTTGATGTATCTGGAACTATGAATAGGTAACACTATTAATATTTTGATGTTAAACTGAACTGTAATTTCCCCCTGCTTTTATTAGCCTTAATTAGCTAATTGTTGAAATCATCAGGGTTCTTATATAACTACAGTTCTATAGGTAAAAACTAGAGGCTACTCAGCACCCTGCTTTTTATGTGAAGGTTGGGTTTGATTATTCCAGTAATGTAGACTAATGTTTTTGTTCTGATTAATCGAATTTTGCAGGAAGTAGTTTTTTACATGTGCATGAATTATACATGATTGCTAGTTTTCATAAAATCAAGGCAGAGTGCTTTATGCAGAACTTGTTGAATTTGATTTCGTCATTGATTCCGCAATCGGTGTTTGGAGGTAGTTCGGGTCACTTGAGGACAGCAGCTCCTTTCGGCGGTGCTGCTCCAGGGGTGCTGGCCGCCGCGCGCTTCGGGGGTGTCCTCAGAACTGCAGCTGCTGGGTTGCTTGGTGGTGAGGGCGCGATGTCCTTTAGGATGTGAATTTAGTGGAGAGTTAGGCAAGACTGGTGCTTGTTTGGGAAGGTATGGCTTTAAAACACTGAGGTGGAATTTAAATTGCTCCTAATCTGCTAGAATTTGATTATTGTGCCTGGTCACCAAATTTGTGGTTGCCTTTCCCCCTGCGTGAAGTGATGGCTTTCATTTTGATTGAGGAGCAGTTATGCATGTGTGACGTGCTGGGGCCAGGGCTGGGGTGTAGGGACATACCATGTTGTTTCAGAAATTGTTAGTGTAATGTTATGTGATTATGAGAACCACAGAGATAATTGTTAAACTTTTAAAAGCTGAAACCCGTGGATTAGCTTGTGTGCCGGTTTGGGAAAAAGGCAGGTGCGCTCCATCTGCATTGTCAGGGCACAGCTGCTCTGTGCTCCACTCTGTTCGGTAGCCTTCATCTCGTCTGTAATGCTCACGAGCAGTCTGTCTGTCTGTCTGTTTTTTGTTTGGTTTTTTTTAAAGTAATGAACCCAGATGATTTAGTTCTGATACTACAGCGTTCCTTCTAATTAGCTTTTTTAAAACACTGAGGTAAAATTCTTACACCATTTTAAAGTGAACAACGCAGTGTTGTGCCGTGCTCACCTCTGCCTCGCGACAAAGAAATCGCTCCCAAGGAGACCCTCCTGCCCCCTGAGCAGTTACTGCCCGCTTCTCTTTCTCTGCCCCATGGCAACCACCAGTCCACTCTGATTTCTGTGGATGTACCTATTCTGGATATTTCATATAATTGGAATCGTACAGTACCAAGGTGGGCAAAAGTAGGTGTACAGTTGTTTGTATGAAAAATAATACAATAACAAATGCTGTGTTCCACGTACTCACCTGTAAACCTACTTTTTGGCCACCCCTGTTTCTTTTGGCTTCTTTTTGTGTCTAGCTTATTTCACTTAATGTTTTCTAAGTTCACTGTAGCATGTGTTAGTACTTGATTGTTTTTAATAGCAAATACTATTCCATTTATCCATTAATCAGTTGATGGACATTGGTGTTGTTTTCACCTTTTATCTGTTGTGAATAATGCTGCTATGAATATTCATGAACAAGTGAATATTTTGTTTTCAGTTCTTTTGGGTATATACATAGGAGTGGAATTGCTGGGTCCTTGGGTAATGCTGTGTGTAGCTTTTTGAGGAATCACTTGCTATTAGGAATACAGCTGTCATCTTAAATTACTGCCGACATGTATGAGTTTGTGTTGCTATACATCCTCACCAACACTGGTATTAGTGGTCTTGAATTTTTGCCATTCTGATGGGTATTTTCTACATCTCTGTAATTTTTATTGAGATGTAATTCATAAGAGTGACCCTTCTAAAGTGTATTATTTCAGTGGTTTTTAGTATTTTCACAGAACTGTGCAGCCAGCACTACAGCCCGATTTTAGAAAATACCACCTCAGAGAACCCCTCAGTGAGCTGTGGAGATGTGAAGCTGTGAAAGGACAGGGAACCTGAAATGCGTATTTCTAAGTAAAAGAAGCCCATTTGAAAAGACTAAATCCCGTATGATTTCACCTGTGTGACCCTGGAAAAGGCAAGGCTGTGGAGATGGTAGGGAGGTCAGTGGTTGGCGAGGTTTCTGGGGAAGGAGGAGTGGATGGTTGGAGCGCCAGTGATTTTTAGGGCAATGAAACTGCTCTGTGATACTGTAATGGTGAATACTTACCATGATACTTTTGTCAAAACCTATAGAAGCATAATGTGTACCATCATGTGGCAATACTGGCTTTTCAGTTGTTAGTAATGTGTCATATAAGGCAAGGTATCAGTAGGGGAACTGGGAGGGGTTGAGGGCATATGGGAGTTCTGAATACTTCCTGTTTATGTCTCTGTAGACCTAAAACTGATCTACAAAATAAAGTATATTTAAAAAAAACAAAGGAAAAGAAAATAAAGAACTGTGTTCATTAACTGTCTTTTCTCATCTCTTCATTCTCCCCCAGCCCTAGGCAGCCATATATCTACTGTGTTTCTGAACTTATCCATCCTGAACTTTTCAGATAAATGGAGTTCCATAACATTTTTTTTTTGATTGACTTCTTTTACCTAGCCTAATGTTTGCAAAGTTACTCCGTTCTAACATGTATTAGCCCCTTTTATTGCATTCACTTCCTTCTGTTGCTGAGTACGTTTGATGTATTCTCTTTTGACTGCTTGTAAATAATGCTACTGTGAACATTCTTTCATGTGCAAGTTTTTTGTGTGGTCATACATTCTCAGGTCTCTTTATTACATACTCAGAGTAGAATTACTGGGTCATAGGGTAACTATGTTTAATGTTTTGAAGAACTGCCAAACTGTTTTCCAAAGTGGCTGCATCATTTTATATTCCTACCAGGAATGTGTGAGGGATCCAGTTTCTCTACATCCTTGCCAGTGCTTGTTACCCTTTTGTTTATAGCTAGCTATCTATTCCGTGTAAGAGGAACCTGCAATGAAACCTTTTGTTGTTTATTTTATAGAGGCAAGTTTCTGGAGATGTGTGAGGATCTCTTAGCTAGAGTGGAGCCACCGCTTCGTAGTGTTTTGGAACAAGCCAGTAAGTGGTTTTGTTTTTTTTTTTATTCACTTGTTTGTGTTTCTCCCACTGTTTGGAAATATGGTTTGTTACTTTTTTCAGTTATACAAATTTTCATTGTGTTGATGACCTCAGTGCTATATTAAACTTCTTTTTATCTTCCCTCTGGACCTCCCATTTCCCCCAAGTAATCTTTTGATACTAGTGTCCAGGGAAGTCTGAAAGTTGCTCCAGGAAGCCTAGGTCGGACCCTGAGACTGGTGTGAACGCCCAGGCAGGTCACGTGGGCCAAGGCCGCCTCCCGCGGTGCTGTGCTGCCGCGCGGTGCTGTGCTGCCGCGCGGTGCGCCTCTGGCGGTGAGCCGCTGCCTTGCTGAATGCCAGTTAGAGCAGAGGGGGGATGAGAGCCGTCCGTTTAGTTCAACAGGATGTTTGTTTTTTTGTGTTTTTGTTTTTGTTTTTGTTTTTTATCTTGGGCTACTTGGCAGACTTACCTAGAGGCTACTGCCGTCCAGGTGGCCAGCTGTTGCAGAGCTGGGAAGTGCCATCAGCTCGGCTCATAACCACAGTGGTCGTGGCAAGTGGGCCTGCTCTTGCCACGTGGGGTCCGCCTGTTTTCTAAGGAGCCCTTCTCAACAAATTGTTGGTGCTTGTTACATAAAACGTGGCAGGAAATCCGGAGGCCTTAGGAGTTAGAGTGACAGCAGAGCCGTGGCTCGGGCACTGTTTGTGCGCTGGAGGGAGTGCTGGGGCGGCCACGTGTGCATCTGAGCACCTCTTTCCCACATCGCGTCGGGGTGACCCAGCACTCCAAGGCCGCCTGTCTTCCTTCAGGCCAGCTTACTTACCCATGTTTTCATGGTTCTGTGTGGGGCCCTCTCTCAGAGATTGTAGGGCATTGAGCATTCCTGGCTCTCAGCTCCTAGATTCCACTGTTATTGTACCACCCAGCCAGCAATATTTTGAGATCAAAACATACCTATGTGTTTCCAGAGGCTGTGCCCCCCGTGTGTGTGAGCACACGTGTGTGCATGCTCCTGTGGAGGGGTGGAGGGGTGGAGGGGTGGAGGGGTGCGGGGTTTGTCAGATGTATTACATCTGAGTTATTTTGTTGTGATAAGACGCTGCATCACTTTTCATTTCACTGTAAAATAATTTAAAGATGCTTTTAATCTAAATGTCTAATTAATTTAAAATAGAGTTAAAGAAAGAAGATATTTATGCAGTGGAAATAGTCGGTGGTGCTACGCGAATCCCTGCGGTGAAGGAGAAGATCAGCAAATTCTTTGGGAAGGAGCTCAGCACAACACTGAATGCCGATGAAGCCGTGACGCGAGGCTGTGCACTGCAGGTGCGTTCCCTCTCTTCCCTAGATAGCCCCTTGCAGGTCAGTGTGACAGAACGGTGGCTTTACCTCTGCGACTAGTAACCTGCAGTTAGCTTGGGATGACCCCCGGGTGTCAGGTTCTGAACTTCTGACTTAAAATGGACATCAGAGGTGACGTTCGTAAATAGTACAGAACTCTGTAACATCTAGTAAGCTGCATCAGCTTACTAGAAACGTAGGTAAGCCTGAAATGCTGCTGGATTTGGCCTGTTATCTATTCTATATGAAATAGCATTGCATATCAAATAAGTGTTGCGGTTAATGGAAAATGATAAGGAACAGCTAGGTTATAAGTAATCTGACAAATTATAGAAGTTTATAATACTGCTTATTTGGACACCATTAAATTATTAATGTTGTAAATATTTAAAAACCATTGATGGTTTTCTGAAGTTTTTTTAATACTCTTGTGATACCAGTTCATAATGTTTATGTTTGTCAAATGGAATTTTTCAAAAAATTATTATTCTAGTGTGCAATCTTATCGCCTGCTTTCAAAGTGAGAGAATTTTCTATCACTGATGTAGTACCATATCCAATATCTCTGAGATGGAATTCTCCAGCTGAAGAAGGGTCAAGGTAATAGCATTTATTATTTTTGTGCTTAAAGTTAATTCAGTGTTAAGTCTGAGTAAAATAGTGTGTTCCATTTCAACTTCTCCAATATAGTGTGTTTCATTTCAGCTTCTCCAAATTTTGTTGAACATTTTGTTATAGTGCTTGAATCAAAGTGATTACTTTAGTCATCAGAGTACATTTATGCCTTTATATAGTTTCTCATACTTGATCATACTGAAATAATTTGTGCATTTTTGTGCTAATTGAAATATATTCCTTTTTAAAAAACTGACACACACAATGTGTGTATTTCTTGTTCTTGGAAAACTTAATCTGGGAAACAAGGCCAGTTGAAAAGAGTAAAAATATACAATAATTATAAAACTATAGTACATGGGCAAAAGTGTTAGGAATACCCTAAATTTCTTTTTGTCTTTTTTTCCCTCCATTTAGCGACTGTGAAGTCTTTTCAAAAAATCACGCTGCTCCTTTCTCTAAAGTACTCACATTTTATAGAAAGGAACCTTTCACTCTGGAGGCCTGTTATAGCTCTCCTCAGGATTTGCCCTATCCAGACCCTGCTATAGGTGGGTAAAGGGTTGGGAATTAAAAAAATACAAACACACATGTGCTTGGAAGAACTGGGAAAAGCAGAGCAAGTACACTTCTGAAATTTGGGTATTTTAGATCACAAAAAACCCTCTTTTAAAAAGTCTTTTTACCAGATTCAGAACCAGTAAGACGATCATTATTTAATTGGATCTCTTGTTGTGGGAGCATATTTCTTGGTTAATGCACATTCTGGCTATAACTTGGGCATAATGTGGTGCTTGATACTAAAGGGAATTAAAGAAATTCAGTTCTGACCCTGACATAGAGTAATGAGATGCATGCATAGAAAATTACTAGGAAATTGAGATATCAGTATCATAAGCTGTATTGTCTAGAGTCTCCATAGACTTTGAGAAATCTATAATGTGGAAAAAGTACTAACTGAGGAGCCAGAAACTAGAATTATATGATAATTACAGACCTATACATTGCTAAAGTATTAGTATTAGTATACATTAGTAAAGTATTAAAGACTATCCTGAATGGCACTTAGAAGCTATGGAAAGCTAACCTACTATTTTTATTTGTAAAACAAAGATGATAATTCATACTTTGCAGAGTTGTGAATTAAAAAGCATAAGCAAAATGTTGGTTTGGTAACTGAATCTAGAAATGACAAGTTCTTGATAAATGACAGAAGCACTATAAAATCATGGGGGATTTTTATAGGAGAGGATAACATGATGGAATTGTTTTAGGAATTTTCTGGCAGTAGCATAAAAAGACAGGTTGGAATAGGGACTGGAGGGAAAGAAAGGTCAGGGTTAAGAGATGTTTGAGTCCTTAATTGGGACAAGATAAGAGTTTGACTATATATGAAAAGGAAACTATGAAGGCATGATAAAATTCTATGAGTGCCGACTCTGAGGTGTCATTTTACTGTCCTATCATTGAGAAATGGACAAAACCTGGCTGTGGGGTCTGTGTATTCATGTTTGAATTCCTCCTCAGATTATTTGTTCTCTTTTGTCTCTCACGTGTCCACAGCTCAGTTTTCCGTTCAGAAAGTCACTCCTCAGTCTGATGGCTCCAGCTCAAAAGTCAAAGTCAAGGTTCGAGTAAATGTCCATGGCATTTTCAATGTGTCCAGTGCGTCACTAGTGGAAGTGCACAAGTTTGAGGAGAATGAGGAACCGATGGAAACTGATCAGAATGCAAAGGAGGAAGAGGTAATTTGGACATTTTGTACCATTTATGATGGCCGAGGTTCTAGCAAGTAGACTGAGTGACAGGGGAGAGGGACATTGTGACAGAGGTGCTGGGTGTGGGTCTGCATGCGTCCCCTTCCCCCAGCCGGGGTGAACCAGGAGAAAGTCTACACAGAATTTACATAGAAACGTCACATGACTGGCTCCTTGCATCAGACCGTGCCCTTGTTGGTTTGAGTTCTTGATTCTTTCTGATTATGGAAGAATGCTGCGAGCCTCAGTTCATTTTTCACAAGTAGAATATATTTGCCATTCATTTGTTAGAATGGTGCATTGTCTACTCCTTATTGTGCAACAAAATCAAGGCTTTATAAGGTTACAGATGTTGGAGTCTCATCCCCGGAGATTGAGTTGATCTGGGTGTCGGGGGGCCCTGGTATCAGTAGTTCTAAACGCCTCCGAGGTCATTCTGGGTTGCTGTAGGCATTGAAAGCCACTCAGTCAGGGCCTTCACAAACTTGTTTTTTTTAACAGAAGTCTCCAGGTGTTCGCTTGTCCTGATGCATGCAGTAGTTGTACTTTTGAGGATGAAAGGGCTGATTTAAAAACTGCTTGAAAAAGTGAGAAATTTTGAGAGACATTAGCTCATGAGGAAGCTTGGAGAAACTCATGCTCTCTTCCAATTACATTGTGTGAAATATGGCCACACTCTGTGCCGTGAGCACTTTATGAACAAGTCCGCAGCTGTTCTTGGTTTTGTAAGGGGAGGGTGGGGCAGGTGCTACCCCAGTGTAATACTGAGAGCAGAGGGGAAAGCGTTGTGCGTTGTAGGTGACGTATGTGTCATAGCTGGAATTTGAGTCTAGGTCTTCTGATGGCTGGTAGCCCAGAGGGAATTTGATACCATGTGATTTTGCCCGTGTGTCACAGAGATTGCTTAAGTCTTTCCTTGGTAGGAACTAGTTTCAGGATTTGACATGACCTGTTTTTCAGAAGATGCAAGTGGACCAAGAGGAACCACATGTTGAAGAGCAACAGCAGCAGATGCCAGCAGAAAATAAGGCTGAGTCTGAAGAAATGGAGGTATAAATTGCATTTTAGAGGATGTGTTACAGTCTCGTCACATATGTGGTTTTGGCTGTGTTTTCACTATGTTTTGGAAGGTTGTTAGGAATTTATGTGTTTTTGAAGAGCTTTTAAACAAAATTTTGTTTAAATATTAATGTATTTAGATAAAAACTTGTATAGATAAATACAAAATTTAAAAAACCAGAAGAGCGAATCATTTGGGGAAGAAACCCCACTAAAATCCTAAAAGAATGGTGAATGGAATACACCACGGTAGTTCGGAACAAAGGTTACTGACCCAAAGGACGCGGCAGCGACATGATCAGTGGCAGCTTCCGCCGGGTGCAGTAGGACAGGTTCTCCCGGTCCCTCGGAGGCTTTCAGTAGGTGCAGACGTTCTCGAAGTCATTGATGATATTTCTGGTCCATAAAAATGTATACCGTCTCCCCACTAATTTCATTTGCACGTCTGTATGTTTAGATAAGAGTGGAAGAAAACTAGAGAAGGTACAGTGATGTGCTGATTGTGGGAATTTGGGAGGTGGTTGTGTGCGTGTGTGTGCACTTTCAGCAGCGTTAACTATGTTCACACTGTGGTACAGGCATCTCCAGAACTTTTTCATCTTGCCAACCTGCAACGCTGTGCCCGCTGAACGTCTTCCTGTTGCCTCCCCCTGCCCACCCCCCCTCCCCCAGCCCTGGCAACTGCCACTACTTCTGTCTCCATGGATTTGACCATAATTTTAACTTTCCAGATATTATAAGAATAGTCCTAGGTTATTTAAGTCATCACAAAACAAAGTTAGTACAAAAGCAAAAACAGCTTTTGAAATGTGACCCATTGGGAAATTTAAGATAGTCTGTTTATGTGTTCATTCTTAGAGGATTTTTGTTATTTTAGACCTCCCAGGCTGGATCAAAAGACAAAAAGATGGATCAACCACCTCAAGCCAAGAAGGCAAAAGTGAAGACCAGTACTGTGGACCTCCCAATTGAGAATCAGCTGCTATGGCAGATAGACAGAGAGATGCTCAACTTGTACATTGAAAATGAGGTAGTAATTTAAAATCTCAGAACAGTAAACTAACAAATTAAGGTGACAGAGTGTTTAAGCTCTGTGTCTAGTGACTTAATGCATATTTGGTTGTTTGGATTTTGAGATTTTTGGCAAAAGTACATCTGTGTTGCTAGAAGCTCTGTTGTGAGATCTTTGACATTATGGCTTTGGTTTAGGGGAGGTGGTGTTCACGTTTGGGGGTGTGAGTATGTTTGTTCACTAGGGATTGGGACATCTGAGGTGGTGGGTCCTGGAAGCTGAGGGTAGGAGGAATTGTGTAGCGTTAATGGTGGTGCTGTTTTGTTTATTAGTTCCTTCCCCTGTTGGCAGTCAACACGTAACTTGTTACGATGAGCGATGCAGAGTTTGGGACCTTGGAGCATTTTTATTGAATTAATTATTGCCTGTGAGGTTTCTTATCGTGGATTCACTGGATCTTAGAATAGTTTTGTTTTACAGACTTTTAGCATTTGTATTATATGAATACATTAGCTCTTTCTTGGTATTCCATAGGACCAATAATACAGCAGAGATACCACTGTGACATTAAGCCAATAAAAGTTCTTAAATTTTCTTTTTCTTAGTTTTGCTTTTCTACATCTTGATATTTCTGTTGCTCTTTTAAAAAAATACTGATTTGTGTTTTTAATTTGTATTTTTCCACCACCATTCAGCCTCCCTGTGCCTCTTCCACCCCCACGCAGCCCCCCGCCCCCGTGGTGCGCCCTTTCCCTAAGCACACCCACAGAACTCTCGCTTGGTCTTCATTGTTCACTGCGGACTAACGCTTCCAGGTCTGCTTTTCTTAGATGATTTGCAGAATTAAAAGGGTTTCTTTCTTTCTTTGATAATTACGTTATTTAATATTTAAGAGGAAATGGTCTCAATGGTGTCAATGTCTTAACTGATGGATGCTGTCCTCAGGGTAAGATGATCATGCAGGATAAGCTGGAGAAGGAGCGGAATGACGCCAAGAACGCGGTGGAGGAGTACGTGTATGAGATGAGAGACAAGCTCGGCGGGGAGTACGAGAAGTTTGTGAGTGAAGATGTAAGTGCGCGTGCCGCGGGGTGGCTCCCTGTCCCACGTCTTCTGGGAGCATCCCTCCGTGTGTTAGAAGGGAAGTGTGCATCTGTAGGTGGAGGGTAAAATGATTAAAATGTAACTTTTTAGAAATACTGTTTTATGTTTATTAGTGGAGTATTCTGTTCCCTAAAGGTTATTAGTCTTTGTGTCTCACTTTCAGATACATTGGCATACTGTTATTTACCTAAAGTATCTTTCTTTAAAATCAGCTAACTTTTCCCTGGTATTTATTTTAAGTTCTTTGTAAGTACAGTTTCTAATTCTGAAATTTTCAAACATACCCAAATGTTTCTTACAGCAGCGAGGATAATAAACCTCCCTGTAACTATCAAGCAAAACATTCTTGTTAGTCCTGTTTTCTCGTTTTCTGTATCTCTTATCTCCCCCTCACGTTTTAAAGCAAATTCAGATACATCTCAGCTTGTGCCTGTGATTCTACCACTAGTGAATCAGCTGATTTCAAAAGTGATGAAGTCAAGATTGATGAGTCACAGTTGACCTCAGTACAATATTTTCATCATCTTTAGGATCGTAACAGTTTTACCTTGAAACTAGAAGATACTGAAAATTGGTTGTATGAAGATGGAGAAGACCAGCCAAAGCAAGTTTACGTCGATAAATTGGCTGAGTTAAAAGTAAGTGTCTTGTGAAAGCACAATGTCCTGAACTCGTGCTGTAGTTGCCAAGGAGAGAGCGTCTCAGAGCTGGGGGGAATCCTTATGTCCTGTAAGGAAGACAGGCTCAGACTGAAGAACTGTATGCTTTGTCGCTTAGGTTCAATGACTTTCTCACTTTTAGAACTTAAGAGTAACAAAAGAATTTTTCTGAACTTGGAGTTTAGACTTAAGATGTTCACCGAATTGGAGTTGAGTGCATCGTTGGTGTCAAGAGATACAAAGATTTGCAAGATGTGACCTTGTCCAGTTTGGGCAGGACTGTGTACACAGCTCTGGTTCTTGGCAAAGCAAACCATCTGGTTTTGTAGTTAAAGAACCTGATCGTTCAACCTCAGGGTTAAAGTACAAAGAGCTGTTGGAAGTTGAGATCTTCGGTTTGGGTGAAGATGCAAATGCACAAGGACTTTCCACATTTCTTTGGATTACTTAGTTTCTTGTCACACTGGGCCCTTGCGGCTAAAGTGAGAGCCTTAGTGAGATCCTTCTGTAGAGGATTTTGTTCTACTTTGTATTATGGGAGATGTCAAACATGTGAACGGAGAGAGAATAGTTTCAACTGCTGTCAACTTGTGGCCAATTTTGTTTCATGTCTGCTCTCTCTCCCAGTTACTTGAAGCAAGTTCTGCATGTTATATTTAATTCAACAATAACTCAATAGGTATTTAAAAGAAGATGTAACCGTAAGCTCTGCCACATGACACCTAAAAAATTCCTTAATATTACCATATCTTCAGTTTTCAAGTTCCAGTTATTTCACATTATTTTTTTAGTTTGTTTGACTCAGGATCCGTGTGAGGTCCACACATTTCGCTGATGCAGTACATCCCTCAACTCCGTGTCTATAGTTCTCCTTCTGTCATTAGTTAATGAAAAAAACCATCATTTATCCTGTAGGCTTTGCCCCAGTCTGGATTTTGCTGGTTTTCATCTCTGTAGTGTTTAATACCTGGTAAATTGATGGAGAGCTCTAGAGGCTTCCTAAGATTGAGGTTTAAAATTTTTTTGACAACTTCACATTTAGTGTCGTGTGTCACTCTCAGTAGGCACCTGGTGTTTGGTTGTCTCCCACTGTGTGGAGAATTGGTGCTCAGGCGATAGTTGAAGTAGCTCCATATGGAACATCATTGTGTTATATTCTTATAATCTAACCTGAGTATATGGGGTGGAGCAAAAGGAGGTTTACAGTTCATATGGAAAATAATACAGTAATTAAATAATAATAAAGAATAAACTCTGTGTTTTGTGTAGTCACAGTTGTAAATCTACTTTTGCCCAACCCTATATGTACATTTCAGTGGGCTGGGGGAAAATATTTAACTTCTTGTACATTGCACAGGGAGGTTAAATGTACTTTAATCCATAATCAATTTTAGTAATTCTAGAAACAGCACTACTCTCATAGTTTAAACTGCTCTGTGAAGAATTTGTATGTTCTCTCTCGTTAAGAACCTAGGTCAGCCTATTAAGATAAGATTCCAGGAATCTGAAGAAAGACCAAAATTGTTTGAAGAACTAGGGAAGCAAATCCAGCAGTATATGAAAATAATCAGCTCATTCAAAAACAAGGTATCTCTGTTTTTCCTCTTCCCTACTACTGATTTGGTAGAGTTAAGCTTTGAGGCATTTATATAGTTTTTCTCTTGATCTCTTTAATTGCTCTTTAATAATACTGTTTTCTTTTTGGATGTTAATGTAATGTATATTTTATTGAATCTTATTAAGAACTTTGAGATTTGCCACTTCAGTAGGTGGGATCTGGGCAACATTGTTTAATTTCCTTCTCTTGCTATGAATGCTTCATCAGTGACTTAACTTGCTCTATCCTGGTCTGGCTGAGAACATACTTGGCATATAATTTGGCTTGTTATGCAGAGGTGGGATTGTTTCAGCAGAAAACGGCTGCTAATTTTTTAGCACTATGTGGTATATACTTCATAAATTCTCATTAAATCCACACCAAGTACCTTTATGAAGTATATGGCATCAACAGTTACGGGTAACGTCTAACTTCTTTAGGCCTTCGTGTCCTTAAGCAACACCTGAGATCCCTTGGGGGAGCTGGGACATGGCCTGGGGTCTGACTCGAGTTTGGGCTCTTGATCACTCCACTGGACTCCAGCTCACTGATATGTGTGGTCGTGTAAGAAGCCTGGAGAGAGGAATTGAATTTGCTTTTTGGTTTTCTGTTTTGTGTGTTTTTTTTGTTTGTTTGTTTTAAATTTTGCTTCCTTAAAGGCCTCCTCTAAAAAATCCTATTTATTACAGTTTGGTTCCTGACAAGCATGCATACACCTCAGCTCTCATATGTAATGACACGTCGTGTTTTTTTGCATTGTGAAATTATCTTAAGATTTTTGTATAAAGGATGTGCAGTTCACACTGTTGCGGCCTTCCAGCTGTAACCTTAAGTATGTTTTTGGCCTTTATCTATTTCTTAAGTGTTTTAAAAATTGGGTTTATTTTTCCTTTCTTGGATTTTTAAGGACTTGAGTGTCCATGTAGATTGTGAGGGTAAATGTGCTGTTTTGGGAAAGATTGTAACCTCTTGGAAGACTGGAGAACTAGACAGCACGTGGGTAGGGAGTTGCATCCTTTGACACCGTCTTGGGATGGCTACTTGCAGGAGGACCAGTACGACCATTTGGATGCTGCTGACATGATGAAGGTGGAGAAAAACATGAACGAGGCCATGGAGTGGATGAATAAGAAACTGAATCTGCAGAACAAGCAGAGTCTGACCGTGGATCCAGTTGTCAAGGCAAAAGACATTGAAGCTAAAATTAAGGTATTCTACGGCTTTAAGTTTTAAACAGCCTTTTCTTGTCAGCCTTGTTAATTATTATTAATAGTCCTTAAAGGGACATTTAGGAGGGAACTTCATTATTGCATCTTAGCTTCTGATTTGGGGATTGGGTGGGAGAGGGTGGGTGGAGGGTTTTGTGTACCATGTAAATTTGTTACTTTATAGAAAAGCACACTTTTCTCTTCTCCCGTTCTAGGAGCTGATGAGTACCTGTAACCCTATCGTTTCAAAGCCCAAACCCAAAGTGGAGCCTCCGAAAGAGGAGCAGAATAACGCCGAGCAGAACGGACCAGTGGACGGCCAAGGAGACAGCCCCGGCCCGCAGGCCGCCGAGCAGGGCGCGGACTCGGCTGTGCCCTCGGAATCAGACAAGAAGCTTCCTGAAATGGACATTGATTGACTCCAATAATTGTTTCTATTAAAACAGACTGTTATAAAGCTTTAAGTTGTCAACTTTGTTCTAAATACCAACTAGAGCAGTCCAATACTGGACATTTCTTAGTTTTTAGGGGATTTTGGGGGAAGGGATATAGATAATGTATGGAGCATTTTGACTTCTAAATAGTTAGGTACAGAAATTAAGTGCATTCTTTTTCATAATGGTACTATTTAGAAGTCCAGTTAGTCTTACTGAGCTTATGCTTCACTCCTTTTATGTTAAATCATGCTTATACAAGATAAGTTTGTTTTGGGAAGTTGAGCTATAGCAAAAACTGTAACTGGCTATCAAGCAGACTTTTTGTTATGACATAAATGGCAGGAACCCTGACCGTGCTTCAGAAGGCGGTGGTGGACATTTCCACGAAGTCGCCCCGCCTGGTGTGGGGATGGGGGCGGGGCCTCCCTCTCCCCGAGGGCCAGAGCATGGCATGGCGTGGGTTGATAGAACCGCACACGTGTGCTCTGCGCGGCTTCCCACTGCGTTTCTGCTCCACTCCCACCCCGCCCTTAGCCCCTGCCCGCGTAAAGGAGCTCCCTTACAAGTGCCATGCGCTGTTCCTGTGAAAATAGGCCCCTTCGCCTGGAGCAAGTTGACGGAGGATTTTGTTGAAGACCTGGAGGTCCTTCCTGAGAAAGCATGTTCCTGACAATGTACGTTCCACTGATACAGGCATGATCAATTTACCTGAGGGGTTGATTCTTAATTATGGTGTAAAGATTTGTATCCTGGCCTGCCTGCTTATTCAGCTGAGAGATGTTCTGTAAACGAGGTATAATTTGAAGTCCTAGGACCAGAGGGGTGTTTTTTTTTTTTTGGTTTTTTTTTTGTAGCTCATTCAGTCACTTGTGTGTTGTATTAACATCTGTCATGAATCTGCCTGTTCTGTACTGTTAACAGCTGACAGACCATACAAAAAACCAGATACACTGGCTTGTACTGGGTGGCTCAAACTAGAGTTACAGGAGTGTGGGGCTTGCCTTGAGCAACGCCTTAGGGCTCCCTGCAGCAACATCAGGGCACCGAAGCATTTTCTGTCACTGCCCTGAGGGCGGGGACAGGGACAGCATTGATGGGGGAGGCATTTGGAAACTCCAAGCGAAGCCTTTATTAGAGGCCAGAGCTGGTGCTTGACTTAGACACTGTTAAAAGCTTTGTTGGTTCCATTTTTGATCTTTGTAATTACTTACTGTATAACAGAGTGTGTCTCTGTTTATTTTGGCCTATGTTGTTAGAAATACAATTATACTTTGTGTATTTAGAGTAAGTTTCTGCCCATCTGTGCACTGAAAAGTTGTAGGGTATTAAAACTGCTGCAGAGACGCATGGCTCAGATCAGAGGAGGATGCGGGTGCGCGCGCATTTGTGCGTAAGCCTGCGTGGGAGCCAGGAGTTGGCCCTGTCCTTGGAGCATCCTCTCCCTGTCACGTTTGGCGAGTTCCCACAGGCCGGCTGGGAGGCTGCGAGCTACTTCAGAGTGCTGGCTGTAGGGTTAAGCCACTTCCTGTGCAACGGAGTCCTTACCAGCCATCTCTAATTTTTTTTTTTTTTTTTTTTTTTTTTTGGTGGGCGGGAGGGTGTGGATGTTGAGGGTGAATTTGAAGTTTCAAGTTTAAGCTAGAAATAAGATGGTGTGGTCCGCTCGCTCTGTTAAGACAGGCGATAAGACCAGTTGGATTTACGCGGAGGCCAGGCCAGACTGTGATAACCGGTGACTTGTGTGCATACAAGCATTTCTCCAGGTCGCGTTACCCAGATGGGTTTGTTAAAGCTCCAGGTCACATTCTTCCACTAAGAAAAACAGTAAACATGACACACGTTTAGGAAAAATTAATAAAAGAAACCTGTCTTACACTCAAAATGAATGGTTTTCTTAATTTCATAATGGGCGGGGAGTATGTGCATGCGTTTGTGTGTGTGTGTGTGTGTGAGAGAGAGAGAGAGAGGAACTGCAGAGCTGAGTGCACTCAGCTCAGTCCTGGTCGTTACCCCATCAGATCCCACTCTGAGCAGGAGGCGCACAACGCACTGGTGGGGAGACGCCCTTTCTCTGTGCTCCAGTGTTGGGTTCCTTACCTTGTTCCTGTGACTGGTCCTTGGAGGGTTTTGACAGCAGCAGAGGGTGAGGTAGGGCCCCGTAAGGGTCAGCGCCAGGGTCGATGCTGCCCTTTGAAAGGAGGGCATCGCCCAGGCTGCCAGTGACGGTTTCTGCCGCCGGGGTGTTGGGCGGTGACGTGTGTTGAAAGGGGTGAAGAATTCAGAAGAGGCCTTAATGGGCATGGGGTCTAGAGGGGGAGGGTCCAGGGCCTCCCCGGCGAGTCCTGCCAGTAAACGGTATGGGCTGCGGCGGTGCTGGGAGGAGCTTACCTGCCCGGGCCTACCGACCTGGCTTGGGCCAGCCACCTTCACGGCCGTGTCCGCAGACACCCTGATTTTCTCTGGGGCCTCCGTCCATGGAAGAGGAGTGGGTACCTGCTCAGGTGAGTGGGAGGCCTGAGACCAGCCAGGTGGGCATCATCCAGAGCATAGCCATTTTACAGGGGTACTGGGGTCACTAGAGAACTAACAGCCCTGTTTAGCCAGAAGCACCAGTATCCCCTGCATGTCCCTGGAGAAGAGGGTGTTGGAGGCAAAGCCGAGGCTGGAGTGAAGGTTTTGCAATGGGGCAGCTTCAGCTCCATGTGAAAAACTTGGAGCCCAGCTGGAGCGCCATCCTGTAAGCCAAAGGTTCACAAATTTGGTTCCTGATGAGGGCATGTGTCTGGGTTGTGGGTTCAGTCCCCAGTCAGGGCACCTACAAGAGGCAACCACTCAATGTTTCTCTACCTCACTTCCCTCTAAAATCAGTAAGCACGTCCTTGGCTGAGGAGGAAAACGAGAGCTTGGGGAGTTCCTCAGCCTTGGCGAGCGTTTGTGCAGAGGCATTTGGCCAGTGGCCTTCCAGAGGCTTTCCGAACAGCTCAAGTGGTTTTTGTAGGGAGCTGTCCAGTGGTAGGGCTGAGAGATTGGGGTTCTGGTGTGAGCACCGGGCTATTGAGAGCTTTTAGCCTGAGGGTGTTTTAGGGGAGCTCTGCTGTGTACAGAATGAATTGGAGCGGGGGAGTTGGAGGTAGTGGGACTTTTAAGGTAACTCATGTTTGAGCGGGGTGAGCCGGGCGCAGAGGGAATGGCAGGTGCTGGTACCTGGAGGAGGGGGAAATATCAGAAGTGAATTTCAGGCAAAGCTCTGCTGTTAGGAGTTGGGGAAGTGGCTCACCTTTGCGGGGTAATGACAAGGTGACGGACGTGAGGCTGGCTTCAGTGGCCTGGTGGTGGTGGTTTGTTCATGGCTTTTGATAATACACTTAAGTCCACCTGAACCATTTCAACCATTTTTATTTAAAACGGCTTGAACACATTACCTTCACATGAGAGGCGTAGGTTATAAAACGTATGCACATCTTCTCATGTTTGGAAAGACTGTGAAATGCTTTTTTTAATAAAAACCAAAAGTGGATGATGGATGTCTCAAAATGAAATGGTTTTCTCCCAAGGTGGGATTGTGGGTGATGTTTGTAAATTTTTTTGCTCAGTTAGAAATATATCTGTAATTGGCATTTTGAAAGTGTACGTTTTAAAAAAAAAAAACTAGGAAGTGTCTTTTTGAAAGAATGGTTCCAGGGTTTCAAACCTGGAATAAAAGGCGTAATTGACACGTCAAGCCTCAAGTCTGTAGGAGTCAACGGAGGTGTTGGTGGGCACGGGGTGAGGTGGGTTTGCAAGACCCTGAAGCTACGGGTGGGCCTGGAAGGAGGCTTCGGAAGTCAGGCTGTGCTCCTGTGAAGGACGGGTCGCGTTTGGGTCTGTCAGGAAGAGAGAGTGGAAGCTTTGAAGGAAACCGGTTGGGAGCTGCCAGGAATGGTCATGCATGAGGTGTGTTAGGGAGGACGGGAGTCTGGGAAGTGAGAGGTGGCGGTGCCCAGCCTGGCCATGCCCCGTGGGGGTGTTTAAGGAGGCTGGGAGCAGGGCTTCAGGCTGTGCGGTCAGGCCAGGTGGAGAGTACCGAGCGAAGAGGCTTGGCCTGGTTGAAACAAGGGATCGGCTGGCAGGGGGTGTTGGTGGGAGGAAGGAGGTGGGGTGGCACCCAGCACCCGCTGTCCTGTGTGCAGATGGGCAGGGCTCCCTCCAGCCTTGGAGTTGCCAGCGCGTTCCTTTCCTGGGTGGGTCTTCTGCATCTCTGGCTGGGGCAGCCCTCGGACGTGGCCGTCCGCGCCCTTGTCCTCGGTGAGCCAGGTTCTGCTCCTCGGAGCAGGCGCCGTGGGTGTGAAGTGAAGGAGGTGACCTTGGGGTGGCGAGGTGGGAGGTGGGAGCAACACTCTCAGGACGAAGGGGGTGGTACACGTCGCGGGCGGCGGGGGCGGGGGGCGGTCACAGAAGGGAGGACCTCAGGGTGCGAAAAAAACGTGGGATGCTTTTCAGATTTGTCCAACATCCAAGGGAAAGGACCAGGCTAATCCTGACCTTGTCACCCCAGTCTTGGCACGGCTCTGTCAGGACAGGGAGGGAAAATGGGGGAAAGACTTCTAAGTCCTCTGGGTTTGTCAGGTTCAAGCACAACAGGCGGGGAAAACGAGTGAGCGAGCTGTGTGGGGGGCCGTTTGCATTAGTCTTGTCTGGGTTTGCATCCCTCCAAGTCCAGGTGGACTCGCAGATTTGGATCCGGGATCAATGAAGGGAGAGAGAACACAACATACTTTTCTTATCGCAAGATAGCAGGCCCTTCCCCACTGCACCTGCGGTTTTTCCTATGTGCATTTTAAATTTTAAAACATACTGGCCTGCCATTCACTTAAGACTCGCTAATGCTTGGGGAAGAGGAAGCAGGAAACACTTGGGGAACCACCCTAATGGCTCAGCCTCCACGATGTAAATTCCAGCAAAGCATTTCTGAGGATGAGCTGGATCAGAGGGTACGCCTGCAGCGGTGGCCCCCGCGAGGCTTCTGGGACTGGGGAGGCGGTCAGGAGGACCAGGATAGGACTCAAGATGGAGCGGGCCCAGGTGGTTAGAGAGGAAGCCCAGCCTGGGCGAAGGGCCTCCCTTCTGTGCGCAGCCCTGACCTCACCCATTCTATGTCCTACACCTGAGTGGGGGGGGCGGATGCTGCCTAGTCCCCCACAGTCTGTGAGGAGCATGGAACATAGAGCAGGTGCTCAGGGAGACATTCATGCAGTATCTTCAATGAAGAAACCCCTCAGAACGTTAGAAATATACTTGAGATCATATCTGACTCCACTTTGTGGATAAGAAAAGGGGAGAAGCAGGCAGAGCGGGCTAAGCTCTCGGAGCAAGTGGACGCCAGGAATCCCGACTCCAGCTGTTTGGAGGGACGTTAATCTGGAAAGTGTGTGGCTGGAATGTGGGGGCTATTGCTTTCCCCAAAATTCACTCTGGGTGTAGCTTGCTTTGGGGTGTAGCCCTGGCTTCTCTGAGTCGGACGGCCCCCCAGCCTGCCCCAACTTGGCCTCCTGCGGGCGGCTGTCACTGCCGCAGCTGCCACGGGAGGGCGGTGTCGCTCTTCCTTGCCTTGGGTCAGACTCCGTAAGGACTTCACTCCAAGATGACAGCCGAGTTTGGAGACTGCAGATGGCCCTCTCTCCTTCCGGGTGGTTGAGGGCAGAGTCGGCCTGGCTTAACAGAGGCCTCGAGCTAGGCAGCTGGGGCTGTTACGGGCTTTTGCTAGTAACCCCATAGGTCCCTGTCACTCAACGTGTGGCCCCGCTTGTTACAAAAGAATGTTGGAGAGACCCCAGATCTTGGGTAAGCACCCAGCCCAGTGCTTCTCCCACTCCTCTGGGGACACTGCCAAAAGGCAGATTCTGATGGAAATGCCAGAGCGCGGCTTGAGCGTCCACAGTTCTAACCGGCTCCCAGGGGATGCTGAGCGGGGGCCGCATTTTGACTTGAAAAGGTACCCTCCAGGAGCCTCGGTTTCTCCGTCACACCAGCCCCCGCCATCACATCAGACAATGGATGTAGAAGACACTCAAGACAGACAAAGAATAAAGGTATTGCAAACACAGGCATGTAACTTGCCTTTTGAAGTCCCACCAGCAGGACAAGGAGCAGCTGGCCCAGGCGCAAGCAAGTCCTAGGCCTGGCGAGGAACCTTCTTTCTTTTCCTCGTCCTGCCAGGAGCTCAGGCTCCTGAAGAACAAAGTGGAGGGGCAGCCTGAGAAGCAGACCCCTTCCTGGCGGCATGGCCACTGGCTCCTGGGGGGTGGGTGACGTGGGGGAAGCGTTGCTCCCTGCCCCTGGAGTGACACATGAACCCATTCTACTTAGTGCCCCAGGTCTCACCATGGACTGAGGCCACTGCTCTTGACTCAGTGTGGTCCCAGGAGTAGCCCCAGCAAGGGGCTGACCCTTCCCCCCCCGGCCCCCGCCGACTTCCGCAGCGGGTGGGCGTCTCCAGCTCTGGATGGAGGTTCCCAGGAAGCGACTGTGTGTCTGAGTCCTGGGCGTCTGCTGCAGACGATTAAGTCCAGCTTCGGAAGGCCTGGGGCAAAAGGGG